ACAAATTATTACACTGTTGAAAATTTTTGTAAAATTACAAGTGTTTTATAAAAAAAAAGTATCTCTAATTTTAAAAAGTAGGAAGTGATTTTGGTAAGATTTTGAGAATAAGAGTTTTCATCAGATCTCCGAGTTTTGAGGTCCTAGGAAGCCGATCCGACTTTTCCCGGCTGGAAGTCCGGCCGCGTGGGTGTGTATGTATGTAAATAAAATTTTGTCGTAGGATATCTTTAGAACGAATCAACCGATCGAGATGAGCGACACGACGTTCGAAAGTGTTCATTGAGACTTCGATCTGATTTGATTTTAAAGTAAATTGTACTTTGCCCGAGAAAAAGATATGAAAAACAAATAAAAACCAAAAAAACAATTTTTTTTAAGTTTTTTCTAAATAACTTTCAAAATATTTGACTAATCAACTCCAGACATCAGAGACACTTTTTTGGACTTAAAAGACTAAGTCAAATGCCGCCAAGCAAGTCAAAATCGAACGACAAGTTCAAAAATTCTAGCCATTTAAAAATTTCTAAATACTCGTTTTTTTGAGATAACTTTTAAATTCTTCAATCGATCGACTCAAGAGCTTGTAAACAATTTTTGTACTTAAAAAATTGCGTCGAACGCCTCGAAGCAAATCAAAATTGGACGCGTTCAGGAGTTATAGCCAAAAATTTCTAAATAATTGTATTTTTGATATGACTGTTGACTCTTCAAGCTCGAAGAGCTTGAAAGATTGAAAAGCGGGAACCGCTTTTCAAAATTCTGCCTATCAATTCCTAAACAATTTGTAAAATTACCATAAAAATTTTCAACAGTGTATTGTATTGCTTTCGCACTTGAAGCAAAAATCACACTTTTAATTCCTTGGTTCGACACATCGGCCTCAACAATTAGTATAATTATTATTATTAAACCAGTGTATTATATTTAAAGCTTCACAATATCCAAGTATATTTAAGTCACGCACTTATTTTCTCTTACTACCGAGCCCAGCTGCTACTAATCTTATTTAAACCGCACACATGTTCCGATATTTTAGTTCTTCAACATCCAGTTTACCGGGAACCCAAAAGTTCACATTTTCGGGGAAATCAAGGTGAATTTAACCGAAATAAAAAAAATTGCGCACTTATTATTTTCTTACTAAAACAATGAAAAATATGAATTATTTATGGAAAATATTGAAAAATTATTAAACGTCAAAATAGAAAGGAACTCGCACGAAGAAGCCCGAACGAGGACTGACGGGCGGTAGGATTCATTTGGGTCAGCAGAGTGCAGCCACACTGAAAACAACGGACTGCTCTCCACTTACTACTACGTACTTCTTACGGTCCCGGCTCGTACTCACTAAAGCCAATGCTTACTATGTGGTAAAGCAAGCGTGAGCTCGCTGGAGAATGTGTCGAACCCGTAGAAAGCTGGGGGAATGTTAACAAGCTGTGTGTAATTCGAGTGTGTGTGTGTGTAATTAAATTAGTTGTAAGAGTGTGGAAATTACGATAGGTTTCTATTTGAGGGCAGAAATTTCTTAAGGCTTCGTCTGGGTATTTGATTCTTCTATTGGGATTTGGGACCAAGTTTCAGTCTTGGGTGTAAAAATCCTCGAGGAATATTAAGCGAGAAGTTGCAGCTTTTGGAAACTTGAATTTATACCAAAAATTTTGGAAAATTGGATGATTTTTAATTGAAATTCAATTTGCGGATTTTATTTAGATTATTGAAAAAAACTCCGGGTATTTTTTATTTTTTTTTAATAAAGATAAAAATTAAAATTAAAAAAAATAAGTATTTAACCAAAAAACTTATCAAAACCTTTTTAGTTTAATATAAAAAATTTTCAAAGCGGCGACGTTAGCGGTCAAAGGCGCACGGCCAGTAGAGCACTCCAACTAACTAACCGGCCAGGCGTGGGTTCGAATCCCAAGCTGGTCTTGAAAACCATTTTTAATTTCCCGCCAAGAAAATTGAAAATTTTCAAAAGTTGGGAAGTTATTGGTTTCAACCCGTTTTTCAAAAATTGAGTTTTCAAAGGATGTTGACGTTTTGAGGTCCTAGGAAGCTTCCGCGATAATGTCCGTATGTCTATATGTACTGCTGTATGTAAACCTCTAATAACTTTTGAACGGCTTGACCGATTTCATAGATTTTGAATATAATTTGGACCAATTCGAACCGATAGGTTTTGAGAAATCTCAAAAAAAATTTTTTTCAAATGTAGTTTTTTTGGAATAACTTTTAAACGGCTTTACCGATTGATTTCAAAAACTAATCAGCTTTTAACATCAAAAAACCACGTCGATCGCCGCCAGTCCGGTCAAAATCGGCTAATTTGTTCGTGAGTTTCGTTGTCGAAAAAAACCGAAAAAATTATATTTTTGAACTCGAAAAGCTCAAAAACGTAATAAGTGCAATTTTGAACGCTTAAGTATAGAATTAGAGAGAAGTTGCAGGGACGACCTTTAGGGTCAACCGTTTTCCTAATTTTTTTTTTTAATTTATTTAAAGTTGCATAAACTACTAAGGTCATAAGCGACTACAATAGGGGATAAACTTTTGTGATTGGTTTCGTTTTATTTTTTTGAGCTGAGCAGAATAATACATTTAAATATTGAAAATATTAATTGGTCTACGCCGGGCTCGAACCCGGTCCAATGCTTTGGTAAGCAAGACCCGGATCCGATAGGCTACTGCGTGCCTCTTTAATATTCTAAAAAAATTACACCAATATTTTTTTAAATTTCTACAATTAGCATTAAAAAAGTAAATTTCAGTTACATTTAAGTAATTAATTTTATTCAATCAAAAGTAATAACATTAATAATTTATTTTTAACTTTCTACGTCAGAATTTATCAACGAAACTTAAAATCAAAATAATCTTTATAAAAATTTAGTTCAACGTTCCAAAGTCTAATTTCTTGAAAATACTAATAATTTTTATAAAGTTAAACTTGAGATTAATTGTTTAAAGTGTCGCTCTTAGCAACCTCCAAAAATTAACAAAGAATCATCATGGAGATTTAACACGAATATCTCTAATAAGCTCCCTTTCAAGTCCACTGGATCCTTCAACTCTCCCGTCTTGAAGTCAAACGGCCATGACAAGATCTGGAGCTCGACAGCATCGTCATCTTCATTGTATCTCAGAGAAACTCCAACAATTACTTCCCCTATCGGAGTCCTCACCAAGTCGAGGTTCACCAACCTGCTTTCCATGGTGAAGATCTTGTAGTCAAGATTATCATACAGCTGCTTCCTGGTGGGTATCGCCTTCATCTGGAAGGTGCCTGTTTTAGAGTCGTAGGTGAAGGAATTCAACTTCTTCCACTTGGAAGTCCCGGAGACTATCTCCCCTAAGGCTCCCAACTTGGACATTATATATCTTTTTATATTATATATCATTATATATCACCCAATATATCTTTTTTTTCTATAAAGATTTTCTTTAAATACAATATTTTGTTGTTTAATAGCTAATTAGTTCTTCAATAAAATATTTTACTGATAAAAGAAAATTCTACGCTTATATATACTCTAGTTAAATTTTTCTAATAGCGAGAGGGCACAGCCATCTAGCGGCAAAACCAAAAACTAACTTTTAATAAAAACTCCTGATTAATTAAATATCTTCCAGATCAAGTTAAGGATACAAAAACTTCATTTTTTTTTTAAAGAAGACGTTATGGTCATCACTTTAATTAGAAGTGACATCTAACTATTACGTCCAATTCTGGCTAAATAATTAGAGGTACAAAAAAAAATCAAGAAATGCATGTCTCAAAATATTTTGTATGGGCAAGAGTATTATTTTTAAGCAAAGATATTTTTTTTCTGTCCACTAAAATAATAAATAATTAAATTACTTACTGAATAGAACTACTTTCATTTATTAGAGCAATAACATATAGAATTACCGTGTGTAACATATAATAAAAGTATTTGAAGCATGCATTACACTATTGCAACTTAACTCTCACCTTTCAGATCAGCCGTAAGTAATTCGGGTTCACGTTCCAGCTCAATAAAATGGACATTTGATACCGTGAAATGTCGAGTGATTAATGAAGTAAGATTGAAATTAACTCAAAATGATTGACTTTAGACACGTTTAAATTAAAATAAAATTTTAAGTGTTTTAAAAATTGAAAAATTAAAGCCTAGGAAACATCAAAGATTAATTTGATTAATTTTAATTTGAGCGGGTTAATTAATCTAAATAAATTAAATAGTGAATGGTTAATAATTCCAAGCATTTGGTTAATGGCTCGCGGTGAGAATTTCCTCATTCCGCTTCTAAATATAAATTCCGCGGGTAAGACTCAAGCTAACTCGTATCAAGGAATGTATTTTCGTGATGAAAAGTCATTTTCTACACGGAAATAAATTTCTTGGAGTTAACTGAGAGCTGAGAATTGACTGTCGATATAGATAGCGTTATGTGTTGAGTTTTTGTAAGTATATTCCTCGAGCTAAAGTTATACCTTATATCGTCTTTCTGAGATGAATATTCGGTTACGCTTTCTCGCAATTTTCGCTGGTATTTTTTAGCAATTTTTTTTATCGGAATTAAATAAGTCTTGCGTCATAAGTAGAATAGCCACTTTTAGACTGCAAAAAATTGGAAGGAAATTTTAAACTATTAAAAAATTGTTTAATAAAAAATTTATGTACAAATTGTTGAATGTAGACTTAATAGATTGGATAAAAAATAATTATATTTATTTATTTTCCCGGTCATAAAAATTCCCGAAAATTACTCTTTTTTTTTTCTCTAAAAATAAAATTCTAGGAGTGAATAAAAATTTTCCATAATTCAAATAAAATAATTTTTATTTAAGTATATATAGCATTTTATTTTTGTCGCGAAAATATAATCATAAGATACCTTAATAATAAACTTTATATATTTACACAAACGTTATTTATAATTTCACATCAACATTTGGTAGTAGCTGCGCCTCAAGACTCAAAAACATAAAATAGTTATTCAGGTAATCATCACGCAGATTGCAGAACCATCGGAGAACTCGGCATAAATTCGACGTACGTCGAGTAGTCTAACCTGAGAACGACGTAGTGGTTGTTTGCGAAGACTCTTTTGAAAGGGTGGCTGTTTCTTTCGGACAAAGTCGGGCACAGCGGACGCTTACCGAGTCTTTTTGCTTGACCATTGTCCATTACATCCCATAAGTCTATTAATTTGCACCCAGGTTTACTGAAATTTAAAATAATAATCAAAAAATTGTAATTAAATCATTTTTCTAGTGTAGTAAAATTTCAATAGTAATTTTCTATTTTTATAAATTTTATACCATATAAGTCCGTCAATTATTATGTTGAGTTAAACAAAGATTGAATTATTAATTAAATAAAAAATTAATGACAAATAAGTTTTTTAGAAGAGTCAAATAAATAATTTTTATTTTGAAACTTATCTCCTCAAAGTTAATTTTCTAGGAGTGAGAAAATTTACTGACCATGCGCCACCTATTGGAGGTTTTCAAAACTAAATCAAAAAATAATTTTTCCTTTAAAACTTAACTCCTCAAAGTTAACTCTCTAGTAGTGAGAAAATTTACCGACCATGCGCCACCTATTAGAAGTTTTCAAAATTAATTAAAAAAAATAATTTTTCTTTCAAAACTAAATTCCTCAAGGTTAATTCTTTAGTAGTGAGAAAATATACCGAACATGCGCCACCTATTAGAGGTTTTCTAAATTAATTCAAAAGAATAAAAAAAAAATTTTTACTTCAAAACTTAACTCCTTAAAAATAACACTCTAGCAATGAGAAAATTTACCGACTATGCGCCACCTTTTGGAGATTTTCAAAACTACTTTAAAAAAGTCAAATAATAATTTTTATTCTAAAACTTAACTCCTAAAAATTAACTCTCTAGTAGTGAGAAAATTTACCGACCATGCGCCACCTGTTGGAGTTTTTTAAAACTAATTTTGATAAAAAAATTATATACGGCTATATTAGGCTTTATTAAGGCGCATACTACCTAATATTATCATTTTTCATAAAAAAAAAAAAAAAACTTATATAGAAACATATTAGAAAATTATTTAACAAAAAAATACTTACGGATTGCCTAATCCATAGCATAATCCCTCGTCAATGACCAGATAGTCAACTTGCATCTTTCTCAAAGTTTCATAAACCGCAGCAGCGTCTTTCCGTCCATAAATTTCGTAAACTTTCAAGGTACGATCCCTGAAATAAAGAATCCTTGTAAGCAACCATGAACAAAATCTTAAAAAAATGGATCAAGATTCACCTCATGATCTTGCTTTCATAGAAAGGATTATTAACAACAGGCCTGCGGGTGGTCAGCAGAAGATTCGCCATCAGTGACATCTTCCCCGCAAACACCGCATCTTCGGGTGTATTTCCTTTGATCCAATCAAAAAGCTCCTCCTGCTCAACATTACTAAACTCGCCATAAGATTTCCCCTCATTCTCAATTCCAACGAATCCATTGTAGCACAACCCCGCAATCACCGTAAGAACAAAAACGTCTCTAAAAATCTCGTTTCTAAGTCCTAGTTTCTCCAAGTACCTTCTGCTGACCACCAACCCCGCAATCAGGCACAGATGAGGGTTCATAAACAATTTGAGCCGCATGATCATCGCAGCCATCAGGACAAAAGCTCCAGTTTGCAAGGCGTTATAAGCCACACTGGCCTCGATGCAATCTGGCCACCCAGCAATTTTGAAGTTCCGGTACCAATAATACAGCGCCATGATTCCCGCCAGGATGGCAAAAGGCAGAAGAAAGCTACGAACAATGGCCTCGTAGCTCTCGTAGGGCAGGAAGTCGAACTCTGCTGAGCAGGTGTACAGCAGGGTATGGAAGTTCTTGTAGTTGGTGAGTTTGGCCTTCAGGATGTCGAAGATGTGGCTGTGGTCCTCGAAGGCCACTATCAGAATGAACTGCTGAAGGTAGGTGAACCCGAAGGTCGTCACTATTTCGAGGAATACTAAAGTGTTGGCGCTCAGGATGTTCTCCAGGCGGACTAGCAGGTCGTTGGTATACAGAACTCCGACCACCAGGGTCGCGTAGACGGAGAACGAGCTCAGGTTGCCGAAGAACCCACTGGCGACAATTGATAGCAAGTGCACGGATGTCAGTTGCAGGATTAGTATTTTGGGGAGGATTCTCAGCCAATGGAGGATTAGTAACGCTACTACTTGCGTCATCATCACAAACTGGGAGAATTGCCAGCAGGTTAGGCTCAGTAACGTTGGAATGAAGATGTACTGAAATCATCAAGTCAAGTGCCCCGAAGCAAATCAAAAACTTTCTAAATAATTATTTTTTTAACCTACCAAGAATGGAAAATCCTTGAAAATATATCGCCAGTTAAATTTTTTATCGACGTTTTTGTACCGATATTTGTCAACGACAACAGTAACGGCGTACATCTGCCACAACAAAATGGGGTACGCGAAGCTCTCGCGTAATGGCGGCGTCCATTGGACTCTCGTGCACTCTGTGTGGTTGATCAGGAACGACAGGAAGGCTATCAGTCCCCCGAATATCGAGTCGCTCAGGTAAGTGCCGTATAGGAAAATAATCGCCCCGGTCATACCCGCGAAGTACCAGACGAACTCTGTGTAAAAATACGAGGGGACTGCCAAACCTTGACAGCTTCTTACTGTCGACAGTCCATCGCCTCTTTCTATCTAAAAAATTTTTTTAAATTAATTTCTTGCCAATCATGACAACTTGGTATAATTACAAAGTAATTAGCTACCTGCCAACATTGTGGAGCGTCAAGTAAGTCAAATTCTTTCGCTTTATGGTACAGAAAACCTGCTGTAATCTATTAAAAAAAGGTTCACTTGAGCCAAAAAAATATTTTTCTTTCTACACGGAAAGAACAAGATGACACTGGATACCATCTCAGATTATACTCAGTGACATCTAAGGCGAAAAAAAATTTCGTATGGCAGCTAGTATAATCCAGATTATACTGAATAATATCTGGATTATACTCATTGTAATCTGGATTATACTCATTGTTATCTGGATTATACTAGCTACTATCTGAAATTTTTTATCACTAAGTATAATCTGGAATTATATCCAGTATGATCTTGTTCTTTCCGTGTATGTATCAATAAAGCACTAAATTAAAAATTTATAACTTACCTCTGGAAATAAATTATAAATTTTTTGTGCATTAATTTCTCTAGGATATTGAGAACTGCTGTCATTCCACAGTAATTTTAGGCCCTCAAAAAATGTCGGCGCTTCGGTTATTAATTTAAAATAATAATAATACATTCCCTAGAAAATTAATTAAACATTTTGTTATACAATTCAAGCCATAAAAAATGGAATTAACTTAAAAAAAAAAATACAATTTTACGAGCCATAAATTATTTATCAAACAATTGAGCTTATCATCCGACGGAAATAATTCAAGCAATAAAATTAAATGCTAAATTTTTCTCTCAATTAATAATTTTAAAAATTGTTAATTTTTATTTCTCTTATTATCGATTAATTTAATAAAAATAATATTATAAATTGTAAAAATACCATCTCTGTCCTGAATGACATTTCTCGCTCAACTTCAGACAAGTGAGAAAAATGCCTATCATTTTCAAAAAGCATCGACACGTAATCTCTGTGCAATAGCCCGCAAACCAGCGCTGAAAAAAAAAATAAAATAAATAAACAAACAGTTTGTAAACAATCTATTGATTACTCACCAATTAGCGCAACAATAAACCTATAGTAACGATCAGGTATATCCATTATCATAATAAAACCTCAAGATAAATTATATTAATTAATTACAATTAATCGTTACCCCTAATTACCCTAATAAATAAGTATTAATTTAAAAGACACAAGTGTCAACAACTTTTCTTAGTGCCGGCCATTGTAAAACTGATACATCCGAATAATCATAATGTAACATAACAAACTAAACAAACTGTAACGTAAGAGTCGGTATTTTGGATTGTTTTTTTGTTTAATTTTGTTTACTTACATACGGTGTATTATTGCCCGTCGTTCGCAGAACAACTGACGATCAAATTTAGATAGCGGCTGATGGTAAGTGGAAAATCAAAGATTGGAAGTCGGAGTCAATTCGAAGATAAAAATTTCTAAGGAATTTAAATACAATTTTAATGAAAAAAAAAAAAAAAAAAAAAGAGAATTGTACCCTGATAGCAACCTTATCTGAAACTTTCTGTAAATATACAGCAGCAATTTGAATCAAACTTGACGGAAAGAGTAAGTGGTTTTAGTTTAATTACCTATAAGTTACTCTGCAATTAGACGTCAAGACTTACTGTACGCATGTATTTCAGTCAAATTGTAGTAAAGTTGAAAGGAAATTTAACTACAAATTTGATTGTTAACTTATACTCAATTATTGCGGCCGTAAATATTCGTCAATTTGCTTACAATTGTTATTTAGTAGAGAATTACTGCTAACTTGATGTTAAGTTAACTGTAACTGTCCAAAAATTTGTTTTATAAATTGTACTAAAGCTTTTTCTTCAATTTGTAATTAATTCAATTACCAATTGTAGATTTTTGTACGGAAAAAAGTAAACTAATATTCACTCGGATTCCGGTTAATTTTTATAGTTTCAAACTATAAAGCGGACAACGGGGTGGCAAAAATATAAATAATATTACAGACCTTAATGTAGAAAGTATAAAAGCCACAATTTATAATTTAATATCCAAAATAAGTGATTAGTAGCTCTCGCTATAGTAAATAACGACTCTTTCATCTTAAAAAATTACAGTTTCAAACAGTAAAAATTTGCATTTCAATATATAGTCGATATTATGAGGAGAAGGGGAACTCAGATGAAAAAGAAGGGGGTCTCACTCTGGGAGAATTTAACATTTGAAACAGTAAAAATTATACTTTTAAAATATACATTTTACCAGTCCAAGCAAGTCAATGATTACAGTTTGATTTTTAGCGTTGCGTTTAAAATTTACCATTTTACTTTGTAAAGATTTACGTTGCTTGTATTAAAAATTTACTAACTTTATTTTATACTTTTTACATATCATAAGATCATTTTTTAGGTACCAAATGATAAATATCAAAGTCTGAATTCTTAATTTAATTATTATACTTTAACATTTTCGACATTTACATAGCAAATATTACTATTTGAAATAGTATTTTCTTCCATGTACAGAGTAAATTATAACGTTTAAATGGTAAATATTATAAAGTGAATAGTAAAATCTTATAAGATTTTACTGTTTGAAATGGTAATTTTTAGCAGCTGATCATTACTTATTATAAATCGACTGTTATTTTTTACAGTTTAGCTTGGCCAGACTTAGATTTTGAATACAATTTGGACCAATAGATTTCGAGAAATCTCCAAAAAACTGTGAAAAGAAATTTTTTTTAAGTGATTTTTTTTTGAATAAGTGAAGGAAAGAAAACCAAAAAAAGTGTTTTTTCGAAATTACTCCGAAATTTTTTAATTCGATCGATTCAAACTTAAAGATCCTTCGTGAGGATTAAAAAACTGCGTCGAATGCCGCTAACTGCTTAAAAATCGATTCATTCATTTAAAAGTTACTGTGCTTTGAAAATTCAAAAAATAGTGTTTTATCAAACTTCTATCAGACTTTTGAGCACGGAGAGCTCAAAACAACACATCAATTGTATTTTCGAGCTCGAAGAGCTCAAAAACGGCATAAGTACTCTAACTGTTTAAAAATTTTTACCTTAAAAAATCTATTCTAAGAAATCCACCTTCCATCTCGGGTAAGGCCGAATGAAGTTGTTTTTAATTTAATTTATTGGATGTTAAAAACAAAAAGAAAAAGTGAGGCTGCACTATACTTAAAAACTTTTGCAAAATGATTTTCGAAATAATTTAAATATTTTAAAATAAATATACAATAATATTTTGCAATCGATTTCTTTAATACCTCAAAATAGCATACATTAAGATTTGATTTAAAATACTAATTAATTCACACTCTTAAAACATAACACGTCAATTATATTTCAATTAAAAATACTTTTATGGTTATAACTAAGCACTGCTTAAGCGTACTAGGTACTCACTTGAGCCACGAAAATTTTAAACGCTCTTCTCATCGCATAATGCTATTTTCTTAGAACGAAGACAATTATGGCTCGAGATTAAGTAATTGTTTGAGCTAAAATTTAATAATCTTAATGGACAAAAAATATTACTTAGTTTAATAAACTATTTTATCAAGATGAGATAAAATAATCTCGAGGACAGTGTGAAATTTTACTAGCGAACTAATTGAAAATTTCAAGTCTAAGTAATATAATTCTCGAAAATTATCTTTTTTGACCAGATGAAATTTTCGATTCTAATCCAAAATGCACAAAAATTTTTTGAGCTGAAATAAAAATGACCCGGGGCAAGAAATCCGTTATTTCTGTGTAAAAAATATAAAATCACACGCTAAAGACAAAAAAATACTTACAAATCAATCACAATAATCGGTGTTGAAATTGCAAAACAAAACTTATCTACTAATTCAATGGTTGACATTTCTTGATTTGAATCACACGCGAGAAGTTGACGGAACTATTCGACCCGGGGATAAAATATTCCGTGGTTGTGCTCTCAATCTCTCAATGAACAGTCGTTGCTCCTTTTCTCGTCTTAGATATTTACAGCGAATGTGGGAGACAAGAAGTTCAATTCCAAAAATGACCAAGCTCCACAGCAAAGTAGACGCAAAAACAATTACATAAAACACCAAGTTATCAAAGTCGATCCGTTCATAATTTTCAGCTTCTTTGATTTTCTCCATCTTTTCTATTTTTTTCCTTAGGTTTTTTGTTATCTCTTCATCGCTATGGTAAATTAATCCGATTTCCACCGGTATCGAACGGACTTTATCAATTTTGTCCTTCAGCGCCCAGTTCTTCTTTGTCCAATACACAAAATATTTCTTAAACGTGACTTCCTTTGACACATGAAGATTTTGAAACTTCAAGACGTCGTGGAGTTGGTTTGCAGTTAAGTCAATACAACCGATGGTCGAATTTTGTTGGGCCTCTATCATACATTTGTACCGATCATGAGGACCCGATGGATGCAAATATTTCTGGTCCTCTTCGGTCACCCACAATTTTTCGTTAATCATGTCGAGTGTCAATGCCCCATCGTAAAACACGTGGTATTTGTTGTCAAATAAGTCCTTTAGGGTTTCGACATTGCGTCTTGCAGGTTGGGATAGAATGGCCGAAATTTGTCCTTGGAATTCGGGCATCACCACAAAAATGAATAAAAATCCAAAGAAATAAATGATCTTCATCGAAAGACGTCCCATTGGAGATATTATCCCCATGTTCAGTGACATACTTACAATGTCCATGATTCCTCTGCTTACGTTAAATTTATTGTTCATGATTATGAATAGTGCAATCAAGAACAACACCAAGAGTGTGATGAGGATAAACTGAAAATTTATGTGAATTTCAGTGACTGCCGTCAAATAATTTGTTTTCTTCGTCAGAATTGAAAAGTCCATTTGATGATACTCTGTCACAAAATCAGTAAATCTAGGATTTGTATCAGCTAATTGGTTCATGCGATTTTTTGCATCATACTGACGATTGAAAAGTTTCTTGTCAAAACCCCCATCTATAATTAAAAAATCAGAATTTATTTCGGAGAGTTGAAGTGATGCTGTTACTTTCATATAATCAGATAATGAATTCAATGTGCTGTCTTTGAACTTTTCAACAGATTTCATGTACTCAATAATACGTCTCTGTTTGTACTGCTCGGGTACATTTTTTTGAATGATATATGCCAACAATTTTATTTCATGACCATCTAAGTGCTCAGTTTTGTCAAAATGAATATTATTATAATTGTTCTTCAAATCTGAAAATCAATTAAGAGAAATAATTTAGCTTATACAAATGCACCGTAAATAATATTATTAAACTTGAGGATTAATTACCTTTGGGGTACTGCAGACTGTATAGTGCTGACTTTGTTTTACTACTGCTGTTTGCATTTGGAAATTTAACTTGATTCCAAGGTGACGGAGCGTATTGTGTGTAAGGGTTCAGAGTGTAGAGCATGGTTGAATCTTTGTCGTCATCATAACAGACATAGTACGATACCAATATATCGATACTTCCAAGGAAACTAAGAACCATAGAAGCGTTTCTATCATGCGTCCCTCCAGAAATGTCAAGAATGAAAATTGGCGACTTTATATTCCAGATTGTTGAGCCCATGAACCCAAAAATAAGTGGTGCCAGTTTCTGCAGAGATTCAAATCTGAGGATGTACGTAGGATAGCTGAGAAGATATCCTTCGATTTGCTTCCGTCTCTGATCATGATTTATGACAATCAGCGGACTTCCATTATCAATACTCTTGCTTGCCACTTGGTCATCAACCAAGTCAGAAGATATTATCAGTGGGTTAGAATTATTTGCAAAACTTCTATCAATCAATTCCATCTGCAAGAAAAATAAGTGATTGTAACAACGATTAACAATTATTTAAATTAAAAAAAAAAGTTTGGTCACGCTTGAGCTCAAGGCGTGCAAAATAATCAACTTACCGTATGATTGATAAGGTGTGATTTGATTTCTGAACTGTTAATGCTGCTTCCATTTGAAAAGTGACCAGTAAATACGCAACAGCAGCATAAAATAATTTTAATCAGCTGCATCATTAATCTGTTGATGATTAATTTAGAGAATGAATTCTGCAGAATTAAAGATCAGAAATGTTTTGAAACTCTACGACAATTCGTCGGACGAGCTAGCGACTGAGCAGTTTGAGGTAAAATTGCCGACTGAATGCTTTGCAATATGTGTGACTCTGTTTTTAATTGTTGCTAATGACAACGACAGCTCACGATGTGGCAAAACATCGTAAAATCTAGCGATGAGCTTTGTGTAAAAGACACGTCAACTAGGTCAGCTAATTACTTGGTTCTGAAAATGGAGTTTTTATTGCTGCCATAAAACTGGCTGAGGCCTCCACAAAAGCTGCTGGTGCTATAGAAATTATCGACCAAAAATTGCCCGGGAATTGTGGTCTAGCTCTTTCGTTCCACTAATATTTCGTCGGTAAGCATATAATAACACACATCACCAACTTAATCGTCGAGTATTTTTATTCGGTGCAACCAACGTGACGATTTATTGAATAGGTGAAGGAATAAATAAAAGATGAATAAAAAATAAAAATTAAAATTAGAGAAACGGTTGATCCTAAAGGCCATCCCTGCAACTTCCCGCTAACTCCATACTTAAGCGCTAAAAATTGCACTTATTGCGTTTTTGAGCTCTTCGAGCTCAAAAATATAATTTTTATGTCCAATTTTTTATCCATCAGGAAAAATTTCCTAGGTAAAAAAAAACTTTTTTTTCAGTGTGGTAATTCAAAATTTTGTTACTGAACATACACAACTTATAAAATATGTAAAAGAAGTAAATAAATTGAGTTCTACAAACATGTGCTACTATTTCGACGGTCACGCTATCGAGAAGATCATGATACGTTATTTTTATATTATAAATATTTTATTAGTAAAAATATCAATATTATGCTCAGTGACCAAGCAGTAAGAGCTCAAACTTGCTCATAGAAAGTCTAACTTTGAAAATGAAAAAACTAATTACTTTAATGTTGGTTCAAAATATTGTGATTGATGGGCAAATTCAAGTTTTACCTAAAGACGGCTTAGATTTGTTCAATGACATGATGGTAAGTTTATAAGAATAGAAAATATTAATAGGCTTTTTATTAACTAATTATTTTTGAATTTAGAGATACTTGTTCGATAATTGTCGAACGGAATTTGGAACCATAGGATTTTGGGGCACGGAGAGAATTTTTCTAGCAGACGATGAAGTTGATTTCGTTCTGCTGAACGACAATGAGGTGTTTGAAAGATTGCCGACCCGAAAAATAAAATTTTTGGTAAAGATTTACAAAGAATTGAATCTTAGCAGACCAGTGATAAATTTGTCCGCAGCGCTACCGACGCCGGAAATAGAAACGGTTTTTGTTTTTGACAAAAGTGGTTACAGGCCTGTGATTGCCAATGACGAATTTGAATGGTATCAACGTAGGTTTCAAAATTCTAAAGTTTATTATTGTTTCGAGTGGGATGGACAAATTGGCATAATAGCTTTAAATTCATTTGCAAATGTTGCTCCAGTATTTTGGAAGGGGGTTATGAAACATATCCGCACATTAATCCTGATAATAGTGTCGTACAGTGGTGGATGTACACAGCAATATACATAAAAGAAACTAAATTTAATTATGGTGAGTTCAAAAGATAACACATAATTTCGACTATTGTTTATGACTATTCGTTTGTTGATTAATAATCAAAAAAAGCATCTTTAGTTCTGAAATTTATTTACTATAATTTATTACATATAGGGCATTCTGTAGTGACTGGTGGGACATTTGACTCTGGAATTCCATCAATTATAAGCTCTAATTATGTAACTGAAACTTATACTATAGTAAAATTTATCTCATAATATAGAAGAATAACTAATTAACAACATCCCTTTGTCAAAAACCTCCATTACTTTTTAAGTTTCTCGTAATTATCATTTGACTGAGTGTGACTAGTGACTGGTGGGACTAAGAAAAATCCTTCTCTCTTACCTTGGTATACTTGAAGTTCAATTTCAGTTCGACCACTAAACTTTCTAGACTAGAATTGAATTTACGTGCGCAAGCGCGCGCCTTGACTATAGAGTTTGCATATATTTTCATGCTTATGATATATTCGACCAATCACGTTACGAATAGTTTGATGCCACATATATTTCATCTCAATTTTATATTAGGACCAGATAGTAACGCACAATCGTGGATTAGCGACGCCTTTGGAAAAAATGTTTGAGTTTTACGGATGGCTAATCCCCGTCGCAACTTTAATCATCCTTTTGATTGTATTAGTCGTCATTTATCCATCAAGCAGTGTAAATGATTCCAAGTTATCTTTTGCAGCTTTTGAGTGCTTGAGATTACTGATAGGCAATTCGATTTACACGCGGATGGACACAGATAAGATACGAATATTTTTTTCTGTTATATTCTTCTACTTTCTGGCCATCCAGACAACTTTTTCCGGTCAGCTCGCAGCTTTTTTGACCAAACCTGTGTACAGAAAAAATGTCGAGACTCTAGTAGATCTAGAGGACCCTCGTTACGCTAAAATTTACGCAGATGAGTCACTTTATAACTACATCGAACTCACGCCGCTATACAACAATACTTTATTTGGCGTAAATAAATGTGAAGAATACATCGAAGATCCATCAGTTGCTTGCATTGACCAACAAAACTATTTAACTCCGTTGATAGCAACTTATAATTTGCATACACCCAAAAAATTTGTTAAACTAAGTTACAGCACATTGTGAATGTCTCACAACTCGACTTTTAGACACCGTATTAACAATTTGCTTATGCGTCTGGAACAGTCTGAAATTTTAAATATTTGGGATAAAGCTGGGCAGAAATGGTCTGATGAAACTGCAATAGATGATTTGAAAAAAATGGAAGATATTGAAAACTATCATCGACCGATTGAGCTAGGAGATCTGACTTTTGCATTTTATTTGCTGGGCATCGGTCTATTTTTCGCGATCATTTCTTTTATTCTAGAAAATTCATTGAAAACTTTCGCGTTAGACAAAATCAAAATAAGTTCATGGTCATCGACAGTGAAACGATCTACGATACATATGGTGCGTTGTGTTATTTTCGAATTTCGCAGACTATTAAAGTGGGTATTGTTATTAAAAGTTATCAAAAGTTAACTAGAGTAAGGTTTAAAATTTTCGATAAGTTCATTTTTAATCATTATTATGCATCAATCGAATCGTTTTCACATTCTCTACAAGGATTCTAGGCCAAACAGTTGATTAGATTAGTAACTTGGAAAAAATTTAGAGTTTTCATTTTTACATGTCCGCGTGGGTATTGTTATTAATCATTATTATGCATCAATCGAATCGTTTTCACATTCTCTACAAGGATTCTAGGCCAAACAGTTGATTAGATTAGTAACTTGGAAAAAATTTAGTCTTCATTTTTACATGTCCGCGTGGCTATTGTTATCAAAAGTTATCAAAAGTTGTACAAAACTGTATTTCGCGATAAATGTAAAGATTACATCAACGATACATCAGTCGCTTGCATTAATCAGCGGAATATTTAAAAAAACTTAATACTTCGCCATAATTTGCATACTCCTAAAAATTCCGTCAGGTTCACCTATTCCACACTAAAAATATCTCACAACTGGGCTTTAAGACACCGTGTTAACAATATGCTTATTCGGTTGGCACAGTCTGGAATTTCGGATTTTTGGGAAAAAAATGCGGGAGAAAATACTAAAAAAAAGTTTAAAGTAATCGAATATTCTATCAAAAACTATCATCGACCGATTGAGCTGGAGGACATTATATTCTCATTTTATTTCTCTTGGAATAGGTCTATTTTCTTCAATTGTTTGTTTTATTGCAGAATACTTAATAAAAATTTTCACGTTAAACAAAACAAAAATTTTTAAATGTTTATCTAAAGTGAAACAATTTCCAAAATTTATCGTGCGCTTTTTTCTTTCGAGATTCTGCAGGATATTCAAAAGATTTTACAGTTAACTGTTAAAAAATATGCTGTTTAATTAGATGAATTTCTATTGGAAGCTGAGAGTTAAGTTAATCAAGTGTATTTGGAACTTACAAGATGTGCTTTTGTAATTTAAGTATAATATACAACTTTGAATGTACTACAATTGCAATTGGTTTGAATGTACTACAATTGCAACATCGGGATGAGCTTATATCTTCAAAAACGTTAATAGTTAAGAAAGTACAGCTTAATTTAACAAAAATCATTATTTAATAAAGCAAAATTTTATTTATTTATAGTTCACAAGTCCTGGATGTCACATAGTGACTGCAAATTTGCTAGTAAATATTTATGATACTAATGATTTTGATTACTTACGTTTATATTAGGATTCCTGCAAATCTCAGCACTCTGAACCATTATTATTTAAAAAATGAGTCCCAAAAAAATGCACCCCAGTATTTTGAATATCTTCATTTTGAATTTTAAACTAAAATAATTAGTTTAATCATTTTTTTGTCAGACTAATTTAATAAATATTTATCATTCAAGACTTACCTTCTCCTTTAGTTTACTTTTGCGATCTACTACAAAGTCAAGCTCCGCAATTGAATTTATAAACGTGTAAATTCGGCAAACCAAACAATCTAATAACAACTTTTATATTTACAGTCACTGGTGACTGCTGATAAGAAGCAAACATCAATTACAGATATTAATAATTAAAAAAAAAGTAAACAGAAATTCTTCGAAATGTTTCGTTAAATAAACATAATCTACATTTCTTGCCACTCTTAGTAGATAGTCAAGTAATTAACATTGTTTTTATTCTCTTACTTGTTCTTTTTAGATACTAATAAAGTTTATTGTCATTTTTATCTTTTGGAAAATAAAAAAAATTTTGTGGGTTAACAGTGATGTCATCTTAATAATCTAAATATTATTTTTTTAATACTGTTGTATTATGAATTAAAACTATTTATTTACTTTTTATTGGGTGGAATTTTTAATACTTCAAAGATTATTAAACTGTGAAGTTATGAGCATTAGAATCGTGAAAGTAATTAATAAATATTGCATAACTGAAAAAATAGTGACCTTTAGACAAATTAAATAAATAAGATATACTCACCTTAGAATTATGGCGCCACTAAATCGTAGCAGAGTTTTCTGATTATTATTATTTTATTTTAATCAATTTTATTGTGAAAAATGAGATAATGAGGCGTGCAATTTTGGACCTTCCAAACTTTTTACATTTTTTTAACATAATAAAAGGAAAAAAGGTCGAAGCAATAAAAGATTTTATCACTACCCGTGAGTAGATTGATGAAATTGAAGATAATAAATCTTTATTGAATAAATAGGCGCTTTGTTAAGGCACTTATTATTCCTATACTACCAGAGTAATATTGTAATACCGGTGTAAAAGAACTTCATTTACGATAAAAGTTCGAGCGCATCACCATGGAGTACTTGATACCATTTCTTCTGAGTAAGTACCAGTACTAACCATCGCTATATTGAAAAATAATAGTTCAAAAAAACTAAAAACACACTTTTTATAGAAAACCAAACTAAAAAATAGAAAATAAATTTAAATTAAGAATAGTGTTAAAAATTTCAATAAATATTAATTAATAATAGTGTAAATAAAAAAAAATGTATTTTATTTTAAAAAAAGCTTGGGGCGCATGGTGTCAATAGTTATAAATATTTTATTGACAGATATAAGTAGAGTGATTATTATCATTTTGATATCTTAAAAAACACCCCACGCTTTTTTTAAAATAAAATAATTTTTTTTTTATTCACACTATTATTAATTAATATTTTATTGAAATTTATAACACTATTCTTAATTTAAATTTACTAAAATTTATTTTCTATTTTTTAGTTTGATTTTCTATAAAAAGCGTGTTTTTAGTTTTTTTAAACTATTATTTATTCAGTGATTATAAATAAAAATATGTGCGGTACATTGCCAGAGCCACTGAAAGTGGCAGAGATAGCCGGGCGGCACACGTCTGATTTGGGTGATCACTCATTTAAGCAATAACTTGAATGGGTGACCACTCTAGTCAGCGTTGGCTAGCACGAGGTATCTCTGCTCACTAGGAGAAGGGCCTAATGCTCCAGTGGTCGATAAGGAAGAGTTCCGTATCAATTACTGTAGACTTAGCCCAGCTCCGACTGTACTATCATGGGTTTTTTCTGTGGTTTCTCCATGGTTCTGTTCCAACAGCCTGAGAGGTGAGGTTCAGTGTGAATACGGTACAGACAGCACAAGTCGGTTCACAGCCGCAAAAATTAAAATAAAATTATAAAAAATTAAAATTAAGTTTCTTACCTTATCGACTATAGATGAAAATTATATAAATTAACAAAAATCATATTTTGCAAATTGAAAAATGGAATTATTTTATCAAATTAGTGTATTGTCATCGGTCCTCGATAAATCTACAAAGTTTGAACGAAATCTGGCCGTTTAAAGTCGGTCAAAATCGCGCCCAAAGAAGTCGGTTACAAACATACAAACATACATACAGGTGAAGCTAATAAAAAGCGTGTAATAATAATGATATGTCATAAAGAAGTTTCATTTCTTACTTGTGTACTCTGGTACACACACATATTTTTTAAATCAATTACACAATTAATTGTTTTTTTTTTTTAAAAATGAATGAGCGTTACGAGGCGTGCACTTTTGGATTTTCCAAACTTTTTTAAACATTTTTCGAGGCTTATGGATTAAAAATTCACTTTCGCGCTTATTTTAAGGCATGCAATAAAAACCTAGCAGTTTTTATAACCTAGTTTCTTTCAGCGGCCCAGTATGCAGTTAACGACCCGAGCACCTACTACATGCCGGAGTACCAGTTCAAGTTCACCAAGAGCTGGGAAAGAACGTTCGAAAATGGAACCATCGGGCACGGGAACATAGTGACAATTTTAAGGTGCCAAAACTCGTCGATGACTAGCATCATTTGCGCAGTGAAAAATTGTCAATTGAGAACTTACACGGAAGTCCCCGACGGTACTACGAAACCGGAGAACCCAAAGTACGTTCAGGACATGGGAGAGAACAATGCGCTGGGTCAGCCATTTGAGATAGTCTTTGATCAAAATGGCGTGAAGCAACTGGTGACGGATCGCCGAACTACAGAAGTTACCCACGGATCTTGGTGGGAGATCGCGAACCGCTTCAACGTTCTGTGGGTGAAAAACCTCGAATTAGGCGATCACTTGATCTCTAGGTCGGAAAGTACTATTTACGGAAAGTGCCTTGCGACGATCAAAGCGAAGGAAGATAAGCTGAGAGATTATTCTGGGAAATCAGACGGGTTTAAGATTGATATCGAAGAGGGGTTTCAAGGAAAGCAGTTCTTTTACGAGAAAACACGAGATACTAGCTCATGTGAGGAAAGAATAAAAATCCTAGGAAATCGGAATAACTTATTCGTGGTTGCTTTACTGGATGTTGCTAAGTCGAGGGTTATTCTGTCGGAGACTGAGTTTTTTTCGATGTTTGAAGATCAAATGACTTATTTGATAATGGGAAAAACTAAGATTGTAAATCACCATAAAATGAACATGGTTCTTACTGGAATTGAACAGGCTGTTGATAAAATTACGCCTGTTAAAAATCCTGTTATTAAATTGTTTAAACCTGAGTGAAATTCATACGGAAAAAAAAAATTTACTTTAATCAAAGAAATGATTTTGAAGAAATTTTTTTTGGTTCAAGGGGTTAGGGGTAGTCAGAATTTTTTAGTTATTCGACAAATAACAAAGAGCGCTTAAAAGCACTCCAGAACGCTAGAGAACAGATAAGCTCTTAGATTATCTATTAACAAAACTATTTTTTACTGTCCAATTGATTTTCGATGAATCTCCAAGGATTTATGATGATCACCGCAAGGACCTTCTGTTAGATATGAGTTGTGATGTGAAGCAAAGCATATGCTCGTCAATTGACCAACTAAAAAAAAATGACCGCCGGTCATTTTTCGAATTAAATGGTGATCTAATTTAAAAGCTAAATTAAAAAAATTTTTAAACTTGACCAAAAAATGACCGAAAAATTTTTGACGGTCATTTTCCATCTAGGTAGGGTAAATGCACCAGTTGTTGACCGGTCACCAATTAGTTGACCGATGTATAAAAAAGTTAATTAATTACATATTTTACAAGGTTTTTTTTTTCTTAAAGTATTAAAATAAAAAAATATGGCATTTAATCATCATAATAAAGAATTACGCAATTAATTGCGCAGTGATTATAGCTTTAAAAAAATATTCAGAGTTTGTTTACAACGCAACCAGTCATAAAGCGGTCAAAAATAACTAGCGTACAATTATTGGAGAGTGAGTGCATTTCATCATTAATTTGGTGATATTTATCGGCATAATATAAAATATTTTAGTTTTATTATGTTAATTAAAGATCAGATTCCAACTTTTTTGAAAAAATAAAGTTAAATTATAAGTTTTAATATTATTTTAAGACCGGTCAACTATTGGATCCGTCAGAAGCCCTTTATACCCAGTAAAAAATTCATTCGGTCATTTATTAGACCCTCTGATTTTATCACAATCCAATTAATCACCGTATATTTATAATACTAACTTCTTAAGCTCAAAATTAAATCTGTCAAGTGTTTAAAGTACTTTAGTCATTAAATATTTTGTAAATATAAAAATAATCATTATAAAATGGATATTTATAATTAAAATAATACTTAAAATCTTTTTTGATTATTAAATTTTATTTTGTTGTAATTTTTTTAGTGAACGGTTATATCAAAGAACGAATTATTAGAAGAAAAAATTGCTAAGCAATTAAAAAAATAAAAAAGAGTTACAAGCTAGTAAAAAAGCTTTAATTGAAAAAAAGAAGGAGAAAAATAAAAAAATTTCAAGTGAATCAGAAGAATTATCGTCATCAAAATGAATTTGTGATTATTTGTGACCTAAAGAAATGTCACTTAATGTTAATTATTGCTATTATTTATATTATTTTATAAAAAGAGTACGATTTAAAATTATATTGTATGATTAGTTTTGTTAAAGATGTCGTTAATATTTCAAAAGTACTGTATAAATTTAATTACATACATGTAGTTAACAAAATTACTTATAATTATTTGAGCGGTCAATTAATTGGAGAACGGTCGGTCATTTATTGGGTTTCTTCGGTCAATAATTGGTGATTTTAGTATTTCAACATTCAAATAACAAAATTAATATAATTTTGTTAATTTTTATTATAAATAGTTATTAATTAAGTATTTAACTTTAATAAAATCCATTACAAATTGTTTTTAGAAGGTTAATAAATTTTTTATAGCTTAATACAGAAAAAGAAAACCTTAATCGGTCAATAATTGGTGCATTTACCCAAGTTGAGCAAGACAAATTTGTTTACTACAGTCAGAATTTTTAGATAAATTTCGTTTTAAATATTTAAAATATTGAGGTTGCATATGAAATAGATTGGTTTGATTTTTTTTTGAGAGAAATTTTAGTAAAAAGAAAAAAAAATGCTCATGAATTTTTGTGACTGACCAAAAAAAAAATGACGTCAATTGACGAGCATTTGCTCGTCAAATGCTCGTAATTTGACCAAAGTTGAAAATGACCGTCATTTCGCATCACTAGATATGAGTCAACACTAACAGCCATAACTTGGTAAATTATCAATTTTTTTTTTTTTTTAATTTCTATCAAGTCAAGTCAAAACATTGTGTAATGATGCCATATTATTACTTTTATAAAGTAAAATGATTTACTGGCAAAAAAAAAATTCTTGAAAATTCTCATTTTTTCATTCTGGCTACTTCTAACCCCTTAAGTGAATTTTATTTCATTAAAAAATTGTGTCTTGACTCAAGATAATTAAACTCTTCAAAATTATTTTTTTGATTCAAATAAATTTTTTTTTCAGTGTAATATTTTCCATTATTTAATGGAAATAGTCACTGTAAAGAATCTAAAAAAAAAAAAATTATTTTTTACTTTAAATCTAAGTTAATACATTCAAAAATATGTGTAGAAAATTTTAGATCAAAATTTTGAAAATTTTCGGAGTTATTTTTAATTTTGTTCGTCTCAACAGTGGCTAAGGTTGAACGTAGCCGATTTTGAAAATTTTGATTTTTAAGATTTTTTAAAGCTGTTAGAATAAAAAAAAAAGGCCAAAAATATAAAGAAATTTTCAATAACTAACTATCCAAAAATTTTTTTTCGAGATAGCAATACGACCATGTAGAGGGAATTTTTTTTTAACTGGACAAAGATGTTAATAACTTTGTAACGATTTGATATTTCTTAATGAAAATTTAGGATATTAATCTTCAATGTACATTTAATAGAACAAAAAAACTTGAATCCCAAATTTCTTTATTTTCACAATCATGAAAAATTCCCAAGTTTAAAAAAAAAAAAGAAGCTATCAGGAGTACTGATAACACCGGCCCATGTTCACTAAAAAATCAAAATTAGACTAAGTTTTTTTTATTTAGTTTATTTAAACCTTCAAAAAAATGTAAGACTGTTACTACAGTACAACCTGGTTATAAGTTATATCGGATGATTTACTCACTTTCACGGGAGTTATATCTATATATGAAATATTTCATGTAAGTAGAAGAGAGAAAAAATATAACTTATAACTAAGTTGTACTGTAATAATAAATAACCTTAAATCAAAAAAAAATTATTTACTTTTGTCGGAAGGTTAATACTATTGTCAAATCATTATTTACCATCGAAATATCATAAATTTAAAAAAAAATGTTTTAATTATTAAATCTCGATAACAAAACGATAAAGCGCAACTTTTTTTTTTTTAATCATAAAAAAAAATATTTTTTATAATTCTGACGAGAAATTTTTTTTATTCAACTCAAGCCTTTACTGAGGATTCATATTTTCATATTTTTAATATTTAAATAAATTTCATAAATTTAAATCGCAGTTAGAAGTTTACTCAGATAAAATTTATTAAATTTTAATGATTGAAATTTTTAAATACTTCTTATGAAATATATTTATTACACTATTAATTAATAATATAAAAGAGCTTTTCAAAAAAATTAAAGATTTTTTGCTATTATCTTCAGTAATTAAATTTTTTTTATCCTCTCAAATAAAACCTGATTTTAAATAATGAGAAATATTCTTTGAAAAGAACTTATTATTTATTAGTTTACACAATGGCACTATAATCAAATAAATATAGCAAATTAACTTAGTAACTTGTGTAATACTTGATCAGTACCTAGCTGATAGGTACCGACTGAATACTCTGCCGTTTAATTAACAGCTTTCAATAAATTATATAATTTTTATAAAAAGAAACATTATTAATCTTTGCGAATAATTTCTTCTAACTCACCAGCTTAACAACTTATTACACTAGACTTATTCACTCGCAATAATAAAACTCAAGTTCTTGTATTCAAAGTATAAAAATTTTTTTCTTAACTAGAAATACTTTTTTCTGGTAACTCATTTTTAATTAATAGTATTATAATAAAAAATAATTTAAATACTTAAAAAAAAACTTATGTTCAATCTCTAAGTATAAAAAAAAAAAATAAAAAAAGAAAAAAATAAACTCTTATTTTAGAGAGCTTTTAATTTTACAATTTATTACATTCGGAAAAATTTTTTTATGAAAATATTTTTTTTTTATAAAATTTCAAATTTTTTTTTTATAAAAAAAATTCAAAATTTTTTTTTTCTAAGTTTAAAAATTTTTTTTTTCAAGTTCAAAATTTTTTTCGTAAAAAAAAATTCGGAATTTTTTTTATAAAAATTTTTTAATGACCTTAAATTTTTCCAAACGTAAAAATTGTAATTTTAACTTATTAAATTAAACCAAAAATAATTTACTTATGAGTAAATAATACTAAATATTTTAAGTATTTTTGGAGCAATTTTAAAGGTAATAAAGCGACTCGGCTAAGCACTCACTGGGCTCAGAGCCGATGCTTTGACCTACAAGATTAGCCAGTTTATGAGCATACTGGCAAGGAGCGGGAACTCGGATGGTTCCTGGCCAATTGTAGTACAAGTGACACATCTTGTAAGTCAGTCGCTGGATGTAGTCAGTCTTGAACTCGGCGTCGTCGCGGAGGACGACGTAATGAGTTGGAGTCACTGTGCCTTGGCGGGCTGTCTGAGGTACCAAGAAAAAATCGTACCAGTTGCGGCGAGTCACTTCTGAGTCTACGATGGTACCCGGAGGTGGGTTGTCCAGTCTTTGGCCTCTCTGAAATTTTAATGATAATTAATTTAATAATTAAGTTAAATGGAAATTTTGGTGAAATTGTATTTATTTATTAAATTAAAAAAATTAAATGTTTCTAAAAAAAAATATTCTTAATAATTATATTAATTAATTTATTGGAGTAGGCTTTTTTTTTTTTAATCAAAATAAAATCGCAAGTGTCAATAACTGAGTCTTTTACCTTACTTAAAAACTAAATATAAAAAAAAAAAATTACCAAAGCCATAACACGAGTGTTGATTCTTTTTTGAACGATAACCACCGTCAATTTCGGCGAATAAGAAGCATCAACCATACCAAAGGTCTTGCTCAACTGCTCAACCTCGTATCCAGCGACAGTGCTGAGCTGGCCATCACCGACTCCGTCTCGATAAACGACAATTCTGTTCGGGTACTCTCCTCTGGCCTTTCTATAGGCAGTCAGCGCGGAAACAAAGCAAGCGCGTAAGACATCAACGTATTCTTGACCCGGGCGCTGGAAGTACGCCTTACTGTACCACTGGGTCAAGTTCTGGTTCAAACTCGCTACAAAACCGGCGACACTTGCTTTGGAAGCAGATCCGGCTGCTGGGTGGTAGACATCAATTCCCACCACCATGATGTCGTTCATTGGGATCTTGAGGGCCCATAAGGCGCCTCCTAATTTGCAATTCATCTGCAAAGCGATCTTCTCGGTGACACTCTTTATTTTGTTGTCCTGTGAGATCGTCTTGGTTACTATCACTTGGGATTTTACTGGAGATTCTACGCAGCAGAGCTTTTTAATTGCTGCGTAACGATCGTTTCTAAAAAATTTTTAATTATTAATTTTTATTATTATTAATAATTATTTTAAAATCATAGTAATTTATTATAATAATTTTTTAAAAGGATGATTATGAATATTGTTAATCGCTAACTTAAATTTATATTTTAATAATAAATTAAAGTATTAAATTGAATATTCTTCAAGATTAATTTTAAATACTGGTTTTGTTAGAAATATTTAAATTAACAAACAGATTTTTTAAACTTAAATAAAAATTTGAAAAATTAATCATTGATTTGATTTTAATTATCACAAAATATTGTTCATTAACGTGAAAATTAAAATTAAATTGATAATTTTTGTTTGAAAAGCGGATTTGAATTAATTCAATTAATAATTTTTTCAAAATTTTAAGTACAATTTTACATTGAAATATTTAAGAATGCCTTCGAAAATGTTTTATCTCTAGATACATAAGGAAGAAATGACCTTGTATCTTGTGAAATATTGACATTTTTAGAGATATAAGCTCATCCTGATGTTAGACTCATCAAGACCTTTCATTTGAGTACCCACATCAATTTTTCATATATCTTATATATTTATATATTCCACAAATACCATATATATATATATATATATATATATATATA